AACGTCTACCCATATCTAGAAGGCTTCTATCCGGCTGTTTATATAGGGCCGCTGGACAGAAAGAATCAACATACAAAAGGCATTCAAAACTCTGCCCAAAGCAACATCACCAACCTCACCCTCTTTGCTGCTCCCGAGATGTCCTGCTTTCTAGCTCCCTCACCACCTTCTTCATACAGACATACAGTGGAACAAAACCACTTCCAGGTCAGTATGCCCTATGTGAGTTGCATTCTCCCTTCCCCTATAGTCTTATGGTTGCTTCAGCAGCCTTAAACTTATGAAGGACCTCCTAGATCTTTAAGTAAATAAGTAGCTGGCATCAGCAGCTGGCAAGTCACCAGTCACAGCCATTCATTCCAAGTGAGGTCATTTCCAACGATTCAACTGCTCCAATTTGCCCTTTCCTTTCAGTGAGCAGTCCCTGCTGGGCACCAGTAGAAAGCAGCAGAGTCCCCCTTATCCCCACTGCTCTCCCCCATCTGTACCAGCAACAGCGTGTAAAGGGGACACACGTGAGCAGCCTACTGGTGCCCAGCAGGGAGGATTGAGCAGCAAGTGGGGAGGACAGCCGGGTGGTGGTGGGTGTCAGATTCAGGATGGTGAGTGGAAGATTTGTAAATATGTCTCATATTTACCAAACCTTCACTTTTCTTAATGAACACCAGAGTGATCAATACGGTTTCACTAACAGTACTATTAAAAAATGTATCCCAATGCACACCAACTCAGCACACACATGGCACTGCAGACCAAAAATTACCAGAATGCCCATGGAGGCCGACCTCCAGATTTTTAGCATAAGTTGCTAGTTTACAGTTTTGCCTACTTTCAAGTTCCATCATTTTGCAATGAGGCACAATTTAAATGTACCAATATTTGGTTTTGACAATACAGTTTTATTTGTTAGATTTAGTAGTCATTTTGTAAGTTATGCTGTGTTTGTGTGCACCAAAATTTTAGTGCATTAAATATACAAATTTAAAACATTTGTGCAACAATCGCAGGATCTACAAAATCAGTAGCACCATCTTTTTATCCTATCTGTCCTGTATGGTTGTCCTTATGGTTTGTCTGCATAGTTTGGGTGGTCTTTTACAAACTCTAAACGCTGCAACTGAAAAATTGCAAAACTTGTCTGGCCATTTGAGGCTAAAGGTATAGAGCTGGTATATTTTTAATGTTGCCCTTTAAGCCTTAATAAAAAGGCCCACTCGGCACTGAATGGTATTTAAAAAAAATACAAACATATCATTTGTATATGTCCCACATGGCAGATCACAGCTACCCATGCCTTTTTACGAAAAGCTTGTGACTGGACCTTGAAAAAGGCCAGGGAAAAAATTACAAGATTCGGCTCCTATAGATTTGAATGGGATTCAGGAATTTATACCAGCTGTACTTAACTATACAGGTAGCAAACATTAACAAATAAAGGGAGCAAAAATTGCAATCAAACTATAGCCAAAATACTCATGTCATGTGAAAGCAAATATGCAAGATATGAATAACTAGGACAATGGGGGATAAAGGGAAGACAACAATGAAAACTAAACACTAGAAAAGGATGAGTGAATAAAGTTAAGGAAAAGGAAAACAAGCAAGAGAGAAAAGACGAAGATGGAGAACTCGAGTATGTCAAGAGGTTAAATGGATGAGAAAAGCATGGAAATCAGGAGGTTTCATATACGATTATCCACGGATGCCAGGTGCTAGAAAGCAATTGTGTGCGTCATTGAGAACCACTGTTAGCTTTTCATAAATCAAATGGACTTGGGATTTAATCTCATTAAAGTTAAGTGATGGAGATTTCAAGCTCGGGCTATAGCCATTTTTGTGGCTACAAATATGGGGGTGATCAAAATTTTCTCCAAACAAGATAATGGGAATAGGCTGAAGCAAAATAGCATGACGAGGGTCTCTACACAAGTTAATGTGGAGAATAGAGTGAATAACAGTGTATAATATAATTATCCATAATTTGGCAATTAGTGGACACGTCCACCATATATGGAACCTTGTACCCATATCAGAGCAGCCACCAAAGCAAGTAGGAGGAGGAGAAGGAAGCATTTTGCAAGGCAGGCAGGAGGAGTGTAATACCATTTAACCTCTTGCCGTCCGCCCATAGTAGAAAAACGGACGGACGGCACTGCTGCATTGGCGGGTTGCCGTCGCCAGACGGCATTTTTTTTCTGCTACGCTGCATGACGGAATAAATGTCAAAGTACACAGCACTCTATACTGAAAAATGGCCTGGATAGGAAGGGGGTTTAACACCGCGGATGTCAACTGGTTAAAGAGCACTGGCAGATGTTTTAAAAAAGTTTTTGGGGAACATCCAGTGAGCTGACGTTTGTTTGGTTCACTCATCGCTACTTGCACCTTCAAAAGCTTGCATCTGTCACCATTGATTCGCTACCTGGGAGTCACAATCACCCTTGATACAGGTTGAAGTCATTCTTCCACCATAACAGACGTTGCTTTACTGTTATAGCAGTATATGATTGCCCAGCATTTTCTGAGAACTACTCCCATTTACTAGGAGAACGTTATGCAAATGCCTTCAATGTCTAGGATTCGAAAAGAGTTTCTGATCTTGCTCCTTTTTCTTTTTTGGAAAGCCTTTTTCTTATCAGCTGACCTATTCAGCACTGTTTCTAACTCTCTAGCAAAGATATGCCACAATCTACAGGTGAAACTTGAATAATTAGAATATCGTGCAAAGTTCATTTATTTCACTAACGCAACTTAAAAGGTGAAACTAATATATGAGATAGACTCATTACATTACATGCAAAGCAAGATAATTCAAGCCGTGATTTGTCATAATTGTGATGATTATGGCTTACAGCTCATGAGAACCCCAAGAACCCCAAATCCACAACCTCAAAAAAGAAGATTATTACATGCAATCAATAAAACAAGGATTGTACATAGAACAATATCGGACCTCTGAAAAGTATAAGCATGCATATGTACTCAGTACTTGGTTTGGGCCCCTTTTGCAGCACTTACTGTTTTACTTTCTAATTATTTGAGTTTCACCTGTATATGTAGATGTAGAATCCTGAATCTAAGTTTTCAGCCATGAGGCCAGCTCAGCTGAATTAACAGAGCACAGCTGGTCATACAGTACATGTACTCAAATTGACAGATTCCTGCTAAATTGCCCTTGAAGAAAAAAAAAAAAAAAAAAGGAGGATGTTGCCCTACTGGTTATATGCACACATTCTGTAAAGGCATCTGCATGGTATTTTACAGCCTTGCACAAGGTTGAAAGGATTCCAATACTTATCCCTTGGTGTTTCTGCTCCCCAAAAGGGTTTTCAACTGATTTAACCAGAGGATTAAAGATTCTATCTTTTTGCCATGTGATTTTTTTGGACATCCAAATCCTCAAATGAAAGGTCTGAATGTTTAGCATCCTGTGACAATGCAGATTACAGTTTGGGTTATTCAAACATTCCTCAAGTGACCAGAATGCTTTTTAGGGGTTTTTCAGTTTCTTCAAAAGGTAAAAGATAGTCATATGGTTTACCTTCTGATTTTTCCTCTGTGGAGGATTCATCCCTTTCAGTTTCACTAGAGGAGTCCGACATACAGTATCTTTTGAAACCTGATAATGCTACAATCATGAACCGGCATAAACACTATAGATGGAATGCACTCACCAGCAGAGGAAGAAGTAGATTGGCTCGAGAAATCTTGCAATAAAATGCTGAATGACTGCTACATAGATGACATCCGTTTTCTCATGGAATCAATAAACCCTTTAGGTAGGCCTGGGGATTCCTTTGCCATAACTAATATATATTTGACTGAATGGCTTGTTCCAAGATCCTGACAATTGGGCATTACAACTTCCACATCTTTTTGTTCTACGTCTGTCAGATGATCAGCAGAACTTTGAACTGCCCCCTTGACATAGGAATCCAGTAAGGAGAGACAGAAAGCATAAACTCATTCATAAGGGAAAACCACTGTGCTCAATCCCTACATACTACAAGAGAAAATGCAGCATTATAAATTTTACTTTAACTTGGAGCTGCTAGTGGGAAGTTTTGCTAGAGCAGAGGTGAGCTATTTCATGCCTGACTCAGCCTCTCTCTTCATGAGTCTGGCAAAAAATGCTGCCACACATGGACATTTAAAAGTGTGCATTTAAAAGATGTTTACGCTTGCACACTATGCAGGACCGGCCTACCTCCACCACGTTACCTCCTAGGACTGCGATGCTGCTTCTTTGTACTAAAAAGGTAAGGGTGGCAAAAACTGGATCTGTAAATGGTGGGAACAAGTATAACTGCCCAATAAATATGCCACTACAAAAGGGCATAACTAGAGTGGTGTCCTTGCAGAGGAAAAAGTCAGCCCCAGTTTGCGGTGGTCCTGACACCATCTCAGCACATGCATAGTATGGAGTGAGGGGGGGTTGGGAGGATAAGATAAGAATTCTATCTCAAAGGAACAAACACTTCTACCACCTGTCCTTAGTCCACTGACCTGAGAAAAACTGCTTGGATCTGCAAACTAGCACGGTGGCATAAAAGCAAGGCACTACTTGCTTGTGAAATTGTTCCCCTAAGTGCAAGAGAACTCATAACCGGGGTCAACAGGTATCTAGCTTTTTTTATGTTAGTGTGTCCCTTTGTGGCTCCTGTTTTAGGTGTCTTGAAGATTATTGGCAAAACACTGGTATATAAAGCAACACTGTAGCATACTACAACACAGTCTGAACGCTTAAGAATGTTAGCACCTACCTTTTGATGGTGAAAGATAGCCACATGGAAATGTAGGGCATCGGGGCAATGTGCCACTTTCTGTTCCAAACCTCAAAAATACCACACAACTAGTCACAAACTGCTTTAAGTCTGGCATTTAAATACCATTTTACAAAAATTTCAGTAGCCAAAAATAACCAGTTAACCGAAATAAATTCTGATGGATTACCATAAGTTATTGCTCTTAACACATTGTGATTTCAGCACACATCCTACCTTTTGGAAGTCCACAAAGCGAGACTTATTTGTATCCAGCGTAAACCTTCTGCGGTTTGCACAGACAGGATTTTTGCAGATAGTGGGCTGTGTGTACTTGAACTGCTGCTCCACATCTTTGATTACAGATTGACAGTCCATACAAAGAAATGTTCCACTGACAAGTTCAGGGTGTACAGGATGAGTCCTTACCACTTGCCCACTAATGCGTAGTAATGTCCCAATTTTTAAAGAACTGAGTTCACGTATCCTACAAGTTAAGAATTAAGCAAATTATTAAGAACAGGTATGAAAACTATCAGTTTATATAACTATATTAACCATTTTAGAGTACTATGTATAGCACTTGGGTTATTTTGAACACAGACTGTGCACACGCAGCAAACCATTTATGCATAGGTTTTGTGGACATAATTGGGGAAAACATTTGTGAATACCATTTTAAGATATTAAAATTATTGGGACAGTAAAAACCAAACATTTTTAATCGATGTAGTTATGATGTAGAGTATATTCTGTGGGCCATCTGAAAATACAACTGTATGAACCCTTAGTGTATATGAAATTTGAAAGATAACTTGTTTAACCCTCTCACTGGAAGACCAACCAAAGACCATCTTTATTCCAATATGCTGTGAGCAAGGCTACTTACTTTTGTCGGGCAGGGAAATCTGAAAATGCAACATAGAACTCTTTGTTTGCTGGAGTATTGCCTAGTTGACGGACAAAATTATGGACAGCTCGACAAAGATGAGGATATACTCTATAACAAACAGTGAAACGATGTTCAGTTGATTTATTGCAGAAAATAGTACATTTACTTCATAAAGATGAGGTAATAGTTAAATGAAACAATTATACCATAAATCAATGCGTTATTGCATATTGAATATCACATGATTTATTGCATATAAAATACATTCGTCACTTATGCTCCCTCCTTCTACATTCTAGAAAGGAATATAAAAAGAATCTACCATCAAATGACAATCCAGCTAAAAAGCACTGCCTGACTTGTCATGACCATGCCAGGGGAGGGGGTTAGATTTCTCCTTATGGGTCCAGAGGCTTAGAATCCTATCACCCCAAAAAAAAAAAAATACTTTAGATCAAATCTGCAGGGAGTTGGTCCTTAAATTATATGGCACAGGTGCTAAAATAGGCTCTACTTTGTATTCAGGGGCTTCCTGTGCAGCAGTGCTAAACACAGAAAAACCATATTACCTGCACATTAAGGCATGGGAGTTGGTAAAGAGTGCATGGGTGTTGGTAAAGCACAGATGGTGTTGTCTATAAGAAATAGTGATTTTTGGTCTTTATCACCATATGGATCGCTGAATTATTAACTAATGGTTAGTAAACTGCTGTAGTAATACAGTCCCAGAAGCATATCGGTCATATTTACAGGTACAGAGCCAAAATGAGTCATTTGCTTAATATTGTTTCTCCCATTACCTGTCCTCACATCAAATATTTAGTCCATCCCAGGCAATATCCCCATGCAACCTACGAGGGACTAGCCATTTCATGTGCATGGGTCATTAAAACCTGTGTGACTAGACCACATTTTGCTGGTATGCTTTGTTTTACTCCATAACAAAATTTCTTTACATACCATATTATAGCACACAAAGCCAGTGGCAGAACCACCAGCATAGCGACCGATGCAGCCGCCATGGGGCCCGAGACAGAGGGGGGGCCCGGTCAGGAGCAGGGCTGAAGTACTCCTGTTCCCCCTCCCCCGCACACCGAGCCCAACAAGAAGTCAGAGGTGACAGCAGAGAAGACAGCGGCAGTAAAATTGTTAGGCCTCATTCACACCATGGCGGAAGCGTTTCACCGTGGTTTCCACGCAATTTTTGAAAGAGCGTTTTTTTGGGGCATTTCTAGTTGCATTTCAGCACTGAAACCCAATAAAAAACGCTAAAAAACGCTGATCAGCGCGTTTCTATTGAAATCTATTGGAATTTGTGCTGATCAGCACGAAAAAAAGTAGGTCTTGGAGCATTTTGTGCAGTAAGTGGTTCGGATCGCGAGGAGCCGCGCGATTGCATGAACAGTATACATAAGAATGTATAGGATTGTTTATGTCGGTGGTTCAGCGCGGACAAATCCGTGCGACTCAACTGCCCTGGTGTGAACACTCAACAGAGTTGACGAAACTGGTGGTGGTGGGGGGGTGTTTCCTCAGGGTTGGGGGCCATACAAAATGTTGCTAGTTACACCACTGCACAAAGCCTTAATGTACTTATTTGTTTTTTTAAAGCTATCCCTGCTAATAAGCAGCAACACAGACAATAAAATGGGAGGCTCTAGATGGTTTAATGCATAATGTAATTGATACTAATTATACTATCCCAAGTATTTCCAGTACTTTTTTCCTAACTTAGCCTGAGTACAGGAACCACTGAGGACAGAATTTGTTGATAAAAAAATGCTAAATAATCAATGTGCCTCAATTAACCTATGCACTACCTAATTACCCAATATATGTTTAGTATGTTTAATTCTTAAGAGGCTTATTTATAAAAAAGGAGAAAATGTGACCTTCACTGAAAGTGAACCAATCACCACAATTTTAACACATGCACCAAGAAGATGCACATACAGGTAATGTTTATTCAATGTCACACTCACTGCTTTATAAATATGCCTAATGTCAAAACTATTTTTTCTATTTTGTAAAACTTTTTTACTATGCCGTTCACACATCTCTCCTCACAATCGTAGGTTATGTGAGGGGACATGCAATGTGTTAGGCAGCAGGGAAAGTTTGCAAACCATTTCATTCACAACAGCCATGTGAATTGTCAAAACTGAAATTACCTATAATATTCTTCTTGTATTGTAGTCGCAAGTTGCTGGTTGTAATATTCAATGTCAGTAAAATTTATCACTAGAGTATTTCTCTCTGGCCTAATCAACTCTTCTGCTGCCGACACATACAAATTGTTTCCATCTTTGCCTTTGTATCTGTAGAACATTTAAAATGAATACTGCTAGGACCTGAAAGAAACTTCACTGAGGTTTTCATAAACATTTAAAATAAAAAAATTGCACTAAATACTGTACATGTCATTTTAATACCAAAACAATATTGGCCATTTTAAACATTCATATTTAAATACACATGACACTTAAATACAATAACATTAAGAATTTAGCTCATACAGATATACACACATACATCATAGTAAAATATTTTGAAATTATGTGCATTTAGCAGCAATAATACATTTTATTCAATAATTGTTTTCTTTGATACTGGAAATGAAAGGTGTGAAGCTAACAGAAATGAACACCTCTGTGTGCACCTGTAAGGTGTTGTTAAACCTAATGGGATACCTAAAGTTTAAATATCTTCTGGCATATAGAACAAAGTATGCACAGTCATTTTACCTTACACATAGTGAGACAAAGCCTATAACAAGGATTAGCTTTTCTTCTCCTGAAATCATACCGATCACTTCCAGGTCATAGGTGTTATAGTGTAGTTATATCATTGATGATGTCCTTTAAAAGCTATTCCAAAGGACACCTGAAATTACTGGTAGAACCAATACCATTGCATGCAGATTGTGTGGCATAAGCAGAACAAACATGTCTTACAAGTCTAAGGGGAACAGATCATAGAATACTGCTATTACACATACCAAGGGAAAATTAATTGTTGTATTTCAATAAAAGCACATGAATGTCAAAATGTCAAACAGCTATATAGTTAAAAAGATAAGCTGTGCTCATTACAGCTTCACTGGTGGTGATCTTTTGCACACAGTTGTCTCGGTGAAGTGAATATATTTAGAAAAAGCTATAGTAATCAGGCACTAAAAAGGTCATTAGGTGTTATTGTAGCACACTGAAGAATATTTTAAGCAAATCACTGACAGCATAGTGTGCATACCTCGAGGCAATCAGGCTGCCTCATTTAGAAAAAAGTATACAATAGTTTTTGTTTTATGTTTGCGGCCCCTGTACCTGCAATCCAGGCTACCAGCTATTATTGTGGATTTATCTTCAGATATGAGACACCTATGTACATGTAGACCATACACATTCTTGCTCAAATTAGTCAAACACATGGTTCACTTAAACACAACGTTAGTTTTGAGAAATGGAGGGTTTTGCATTCTTGCTGTTCAACAGAGATAAGCTAATGAGCTAATTTTAGTAGTAAATTAATTATACAACTTACTCCTCTAAGAACTCCAAAAATAGTTTTTGACACTTAGCAGACAACTCATCTTTCATATGCTGGCCCGCTGTTTCAGTTGCTGCTGGGTCACCTAATTCCATGATACCAGAATGCAAGAAAGCACACAGACCAAGCCCACTGAAAGTGGCTCATGGAGACTCACTCATTTCTAAACTTTACTACTTAGGACACCTCCCTAGGTCAATTACCAATTATTATAATTATATAACACACTGGTGGTATATTAGTTTATTAAAACTGGAACAAAGAAAGTTTAAGCATGAATGAGGCAGCTGCCCATAGCAACAAATGAAATCTGATTGCTTGCTGCGGGCAACAGATTTTGCTTTAAGCTTAATTTTTTGTAAATGGGCTCACCAGAATGTTTGAAATAACAAAAGAACATCCACAGGTGGGATGTATGGAACGAAAAAAGACATACACATTAGAAAGTAAGCTTAATGTGTATTTTTTCTCTGGCAAAATACTAATATTCAATTTACTGCTTATTGTCATTTATCCCCTCTGTAGACATTGAATTGGTAATGTTCTTATATATTAAATGAGGGGATAAGGTCTTATATTACAATATATTCAGTTGTGTGTCAGATTTTTCAGCTCTGCATGGGGAAAATCTTTTTTACTTTCAGGTAGTAGCTTAGAAATTCAGAAGGGGGGCTGGTTTAAAAAGGAAATAAAAAAAACAGTATTATTATTCAGATACTGCTGGATGTGAATACAGATCTGATCATGAAGAAGAATCGGTGCAGGAAAATTCTATTGATTATTTTCTATGGCGGTTGGTTCAAACTTTAGCAATCTGTTGTGGTGCATTATCATGCATTGCATTCATTATGAATGGATTTCAAACACACCATAACAGATCAAATAATGCACATGACCCTTATAGTGCATTGCAGCATACCACAACGCATGACAGAACCTCTTTGCGAAAGACGCCAAAGGAAAAGCAAAAAAGTACGTCATAACATGTCACTGATGGTTCTTCAGTTCAATTTTGTTTTTAACTTATCACTTGTATTCTTTCATATCTTACTTTTTCTTAATGCTTTTCCTATGCAGGGTGGCAACAGATGTTTTCAGACTGGTGGATTGTAACCAGTAATGTTGGGTTTTGAGTTTGGGTCAAACACAAATTCAACCTAAATTTCCAGAATTCTAATTTGATTCGAATTTTCAGTATTCAGTCAGAAAAATGGTTTTAAAAATTTGATGCCGACCCATAATGTCATGTGTGCTCTTTGGCCCTGGTCAGCGGCCAACAAGATGTGGAAGCTGGGTAACTCATTTCCACACTATAAAAGGGAGGCTGCAGTCAGTCAATAGTGTAAATGTGTTGAAGCTAGTGATAGTGAGAGCTGATCTAATAGAGAGAGATTAGGATAGAAGATATAGTGACTGGTGCTTGAATTCTGTGTATTGATGTGGTGGGGTACACTCCTCTTTGTGCCCCCTCTGTTCACAGAGCTTTAGCAGTGAACTCATTACCTGCCTTTTTTAATGTTGTATATTTTAGTTTGGGTTTGATTTAAGGGCAACATGTCACTTGTTGCTCTCTGTTCATCGGCTACTTTTTGTTTGCAGTTTTGAAAATGAAAGTATATCTAAATCCCAGACTGTTTTTTTTCCACTTCAGATTGGGTAGGGGATGATTAAAATCTCTGTCATGTTTTTTTCTTTTTTTGTTATTTGTGTCCCATTGGGCAAACAGAAGGAAGTGAGATGTAATCTTTCCAAAGTGAGAAACATACTTAAGGTGCCCATACATCTTACGAATATCGGCCATGCAATCGCGTTTTCGTCCGATATTCGTAAGATTGATGGGCAGTGTACAACCACAAATACTGTACAATCGATACTGTACAATCGATACTGTACAATCGATACTGTACAATCAATCGACTTTTGACTAACCAGCAGGTTAGAAAACTTCGGTCGATCGTATGATTTTCGCAAGGTTGGTGGCGTTTCCATACGTCAAAATTCGCAATTCGTCCAGGTGCTTTCTTTTAATTACCGCGCATCCATCCTTGAAATAATCGGGGCAGGATGGGGCCACCGTACAAAAATCGTACGATGGTTTGGTCATCGGGCGAAAAGTTTTGTCCGATGATCGCAAGGTGTATGGGCAGCCTTAGACAACTATCAGTGAAACCGGTGCCCTCATCAGGAGATTTCCCCTCTATTCTTGTTGTGGGTACAGCACAAAAATGTGATTTCTCATAGCTTTTAGACCCTGTGACAATGTTCACCAGGACAAATTCATAGGCAACTATAAAAATCGGACAGGGAACTGGCTTTAGATAAGTTTAAGGCTAGGTTCACACCTAGGCGTATCGAATATGCGCGTTTGTCGCGCGCATTTTTACCACGATTCGCAGTTAAAAAAACGCGTGACAAATGCTCATTTCCGAGGGCTACTTGGCTGTATCCCAATGGAAACGCGCGACAAAAACGCCCCAAAGAAGCTCCTGTACTTCTTTGGGCGTAGTGCGTTTTGTAGCGCGTTCATGTGGCCTGTAATACGCCCAGGTGTGAACCATACCCATAGGAAATAATGGGATTTCGGTGTTTGAGCGTTTTGCAGAGCGTTTGAAGGCGCTACAAAACGCCCAGGTGTGGACCAGGCCTAAAAGCAAGTGTAACAAGTGTAAAAACAGTTTCCACCCAGGGCCGGATTCCCCACAAGGCCACCGAGGGGCAGCACAGCCTCCACTCCAGGAGTCTCAAAGTACCAGCCCTCACAGTTCTGAGCTCCAGCCGAAAGGAAGCATTAGTAAGGTCTATACTACTTTAGTAAGGTCTTACTAATTAACCACTGGATCACCAGGGAATGTGCAGGTGATGGGGGTCTGTCTTTTATTTTATGTGTGGGGTTGGGGGGATGTATTATTCTGCAGTAATGTTTGTGTGTGTGGAGGGGGGGTTGTATTTCTGTGTGTGTATGTATGTATGTGTGTATTAGGCCCCATTCATACCAATAAGTTTAGGTGTGATTAGGGATTTCTGTGTCAGGAATTTACATTTTCTTGCAGCAGGAATCCCTAATCCGCCATTTAAAAGCGGCAGCTGTAACCCGTTCAAGTTAATGATCAGCTGACAGCCGCTGCATGTAAACACCGGAACACTGAATGTAATGGCATGTGATATGATAACGTGGTTAGGAATCAATCACTCTCTCCCAATCAATGCGTCCAGAGAGAGTGACTGTTTTCCAACTGCGTGTAATCATATCACATACTATTGCATGCGGTGTGCAGGCGTTTATAGCAAGAAGGAAACTATCGGCACTGTCGGATAAAAGCCCCTCCCACTTGTGGGGGGGGGGGCACATTAAGAAACCTGGCCTTGGGGCATCAGAGAGAGTGAATCCAGCCTGTTTGCACCAAAACAATCTCTCCACACTATCTACACTGCTGTATTTCTATATCCCATGCTCCAAAGCTGTGGATAGGCCTCCCCAGAGCAGAGGCCACGCATTTCTGAAATCTCTTGGCCAAACTAGCCAACCATTCCAGCCACAGCACATGGAGGGTGTGAATGACTAGCTTACAAAGCTTGTGTCATCTTTCTCCTCCCAGGTACAGATCATCCAATGTTCTGCCAGAGTTACTGTAAACGTCACCCCAATCCATTGGATAGTAAAGCATAACACACCTTAGCACACCTCTGTGCATGCACTGTACATTGTGGTGTATGCTGTTGCTAAAAAAGGGTGATGTAAATTTTTCCATCCGTTGTGTATTGGCAGCAAATACACATTAATGTCTGCTGTAACGCGTGTTAATGTGCATTCCACCATGGAACACGTAAATCAGCTCTCCATGTCAGTGATTAAGTAGTGAAGTAAGATGATGTGCTTGACATACAGGTGCCTAGAACTTTCAGGAGAGCTTTGCAGTGGCAGCCCTAGCTTTCTCGCATATAAGGTTTTCATTCGGTACAGAAGAGAAAGACATGCTAAAACAGAGTAGACAATGAGAGAAAAGTAGAAAAGTGTGTATTTTATATTATAGGTATCTCTGCTAACTGATAAATGTTCAACTCAGAAATTAAAGGAGAGTTCTTAGGGCATAATTTGTTGGGGAATTATAGTTAATATATATTTATATTAGTGGTTGTGAACTTAATTGTGCTGCAGTTTATTCTTCATGTTAAATGATTTTACACAATAATACACAGTAAACATTTCTCAGAGAACTAAGCTAGGATTTACAAGGGAATGTTTTTGTTGCTATATGTACCAACATGTAAATCAAAACAGTAACGAGGAGTAATTATTATTATTTTTCACACCCTCCCCCAACCTTTTTATAGTCAATCATTCTTAAGATGGCCATACACCTTACAACCATTGTACAAAATTTTTTGTCCCGACATCGCACCCTCGTTCAATTTTCGTTCAAACAGCCCATCATCCACAGACCAATGTAGTTCGCAATTATGGTTCATCAGCACCACTAACTGGCCGATTTTATCAATCGAGCAACCACATTTTAATTTGAGCATGTGCAGTTTTCATTTTGAGATTTCTGTTGAACAAAAATGCCACTAATCCGTCGGTTTTCATCCAACTAGGCGAAAATGTTCTAGCCTGCTTCAAAGATGAAAATCTGCCAGTTGTACAGTAATTGCGGTTGTGCACTCCCCATCAAATGGCAGATTTCCGGACGAAACCGCGATTGCAGCTTAAAATCGGCAGATGATTGTAAGGTGTATGAGCACCTTTACCCACTATGGCAATTGCCATATTTAGCTGGTGAGCTGTCATTCGTATAATGTGGGGGATATCTCCTATCAACTGCCAAACCCAGACACATCCATCGGATTGCCAGACAGACAGAGAAGCGTGATTCGTCACTCCAGAGAACACGTCTCTACTTCTCTAGAGTCCAGTGGTGGCGTGCTTTACACCGCTGCATCCGACGCTTTGCATTGCACTTGGTGATGTAAGGCTTGGATGCAGCTGCTCGGCCATGGAAACCCATTCCATGAAGCTCTCTATGCACGGTTGTTGACAATCTGAGAGCCACACGAAGTTTGGAGGCTGTAGCTATTAACTGCAGCCAGTTGGCGTCTT